TCATGGTGGGCGTTATGTTAAATTCCTGAGCTTTAAAAAAAAAAAAAAGTTCATTCATTGACAAAACAAAGGATCTTATTTTTTCGGCCAGCCCAATTCTAACGCCGACCAGAAGACGGGCCGGCCTGAACTTACCGTGGTTGTCTTGACTCGGCCTCCGGGCTGCGTACAAGTCCAGCCGGATTTATTGACTAACAGGTCGCAGCCCTCATCCTCCAAGCATGGCAGCATCTCGCACCACTGCTTTTTCCGAACAATGGCAGCTGTTGAGAAGAGGGAGAGAACGATTAGAGCGGGTGGGCTGTGAGGTCACGAGGGGGTGGGTAAACGGATGAAGAAAAACCATCGAGATGGCGGGATGTAAAAAGATTAGCATGGGGAGAAGAGCGGAGGGATGCGCGCGGGTTGGACATGATGGAAAAGTGATGGGAAGGGGTCGGGGGGGGGGAGGGGAATATTTGACAATACACATACTGCCAATGGAGTGAAAAAATAAGTGGATGGGAGGGCCGTGGGACGTGAAGAGCATTGAAGCGCAGACACAATTGAAAGATATGAAATGAGGGTGCTGACAGTGAGAGATGAGGCCAAGATGGCGCCGATCGGACAGATGGAGAGCAGCTCCGATCAGGCGGGTCAATGCCTTCACACGTTACTCAGTTCAGGCAAAAATCATCTCATTTCCGAAACAAGCGCTTGGCCCTCGGGTGTCCTTTCTCGACCAAAAACGCGTCCGCGTGTCGCCATTGTCAAACGCGAATGGAGGAAAGAAGGAATTGAAGTCGAAATCGAGCGTCCGGAAGCAAGACCCGCGTTTACGCTTCATTTTGACCCCCTCCGCGGAGATTGAGAAGAAAGTGCAGTCATCGTCGCGCATCTAAAAGAAACCCAGAGTAGCTTGCCTGGTGGATGCTGATAGACTGTTGGGAACTCTAAAGGTGCTTGGGGGGGGGGGGGGGATGAGTGATTCACTCTGGCACACTGACACGGAAGAGCAGTTTGAATCATTTGAGAAAAAAAGCGATCGATCCATTGAGCGCCGCGTGGGTGGGCCAACACCACAGTCAAGCTGGGCGGTTATGTCTTCTCACTCACTATTGTTTTTTTTTTTTTCTTTTTTTTCTTTCTCCTCAGCTCTGAGCGGCCAGCACAAGCCAAGGGGGGTTGCCATGACGACGCATACGTCCAATGACAAAACATAGAAGTGATTCGAGAATGTCGTTTCTGTGGAAATCGCCCCGGCGGTTGCTGAAGCTGAACCGAAACGCTGTTGAATGTTGAATGTCGGGCTTGAGGTTGGAATGATTTGGATTGGTCAAGAAATGTGCGAGGAGGAACAGGAAAATGCAGCAAACATTTCACCGTTTTGTAGTTTCCGATTGTCTGCCTTTTGCTTATTTAAAAAAAAAAAAAACGAAAAAAAAGCGGACGCTGCGCTTCGCAATTTGGCCGGCGCAGCCCAGTTTGAGAATCGCGGCGCAAAACCACCCGAATCGGTCATACTTTGACATCCTGTTGCTTTAACTGATATCCCGGGACGCTGTTTCGACAGCGGTACACATACAAGCGCGAGCGTGCGTGCTTGGCGCATAAAAGAATGTTTCCGCAGCCGCATTTATCTCCCCACCAAATGGCCGATCGCATTCGTGTCAGCAGCCGGCATCTTGGCCAAATAAATTCTGTCTAATCCCATGCCAAGACGGTGAAAGATGGGCCGCGCGCAAAAGGGGGAAGAAAGAGCGGGCCGACTCGATGACAGATCAGATCTCGCGTGATGAATGTGGCGCGCCACTCCCAAGATGAAGCGTTTTAATAATTGTAAAGGGGAGGGGGGGGACAGATGTGTTGTGACCCAAGCAGGTAAGCAGCATCTTTCGGGGCCTTACGTGCAGCTTCCCCGACTCTTGTTTGAAACCGCACGCGGCCGACAGTGCTGCCTTGGTTTCTTCTGCTTAGGGTCATGACCTTGATCAGAAAATGGATTTCACTCGTATCTTCAGGGCTTGGCTGTATTTGAGTTGCGGGTGATCTAAATTTGTAATGTGCAATTTTTTTTACTTTTTTGCCCCCTCCCAAACAAACAAAAAAAAAAAAAACCCAAAACAAATGCACATAAATGCATTTTCTTCCTCATCTCCCGAGACAACTTTCTCATTGACTTCTCCTGGTCCATGTTAAGTGTGGTACACACCACAGAGCACAGTGACGACTTGTCAGCCTTTCTGATGACAAGTTTGTGATGCTAATTAAAGACGAGAGCGTGAACAGGACAGGTTATGTGCTATGATGCATTCTCACGCCATTCCTGTAGGAATTTCACCCCCCGCCCCCCCACCCTCCAAGTTCATTTAAATAATGCCGCATTTCCACAATACCTTTTATATGCATGAAAACAGAGTTAGAGCGTCGAAATGACTGCCGGGCTATACTTGCAGGTGTATGTTTATTGAAGCCATGCATCAGGCCGCTTCAAGGTTGCATTTTCTGCCACTCATATTGGTTAGTGCCGAGCAGCAGCAGCAAATCAACATTATTCATCATTCCCCTCCTGCGATGAGCTGCTTGTAAATTGGAGCTGGCGCATACAAATAAGTATCCGCGCGCGTGTGTGTGTGTGCGTGTGTGTGTGTGTGTGTGTGTGTGTGTGTGTGTGTGTGTGTGTGTGTGTGTGTGTGTGTGTGTTTTCTTCTCCTCGCTCTTCATCAATTCGGTCTTGCACACACCCTCCTCCCCTCCTCCCCCTCCTCCTCTCCACTAATGCGCCGCCATGTTGCTCAAGCTCCGACGAGTCAAATAACCTTTTAAGCCAATCCACTGTGTCTTCATTTCACCTGAAGTGCGATAAATCTACCAGCTTTTTCCCCTCCCCGGGCTCTTCATCCTACTGTAAGAGTAAAATGTCCCAGTGGCACATGCAAGTAAGCACGTCCTAGCACAGGCATAAGCACACAAAAGAGGCGCCCGCTCCCTCCTATCATTCTCCTTTTATTGTTCGAAAATTGGCAATTTATCCCCGCTCGGCTCTGCTCGAGCAAGTGATAAACGTCAACAAACCATATGGAGAATCTCCAATATTTTGCATGGACTTGTTTTTTGTTTTTTTTATCTTAGCTTCTGACTGGCTGGGAAGCACTGATGCTTACTGATGGATGCATTTAATTGTTCAGCCTGTCACTCTACGTTACGAGCATAGATAGATGAAGAAATACAAGTAGTTTGTAGCAAAGTGATCATTTTGGGACTGGTTGAGTAGAGTCGAATCATTTCCTGCAGTGCACAGGTTGGGAATGGCTGCACAAATTTGTATTATTATTATTTTTTCTTGAGCGGTGATTTATCATCACATCCCAAGTTTTTGCCTGGCAAGGACAGCGCAAAGTCATCAGCGACACTCCACAAGTTGTTCCTCACGCTTCCTTCTTCACACTCAACAAGGGAGGCGCCAACTTCATTTCACGGCAATGACAAAGCCCAGAAACACAACTCGACCAATAAAGAGCGCCCGAGAACGAGGAGTCCCCGTACGCGTGGTACGCACGCTTCAATTTTACGTGTGTGTCATGTGGCCCGGAACAGCCTCGGCTCGTTATAATGCACGTTTAAACGCGGCCGCCATATTCTCGGTCCCATCAACATGCACCTGCGTCCTATTTTTGTCGTGGTGTGTCACTGGCAAGTTTGCGCGCCGTGACATTGCCTCGGGCCTGCGTTCGTTTTCTGCACGGGCGTGTGTATGTGTGTGTGTGTGTGTGTGTGTGTGTGTGTGTGTGTGTGTGTGTGTGTGTGTGTGTGTGTGCGTGGTGACCATCCGGTATCGCTGATATCGTTCCGTCGCAGATGTGCGCTGACATTTCCACGCAGCTGAGCGACAACACTAACCCCCTGATTTGTTGACGCGCGGACACACACACACACACACACACACACACACACACACACACACACACACACACACACACAAACACACACACACACACGCACACACACGTGAAGGAGAGCCCAGAGGAGGAAAATGTCAGCCGTGAACAAGCACATGTGGGAAATGTGATCATTTAACACCAGTGCGCCAAGTGTTGCACTCTTGACATGTAGCGCACACATCGACAGGCAACTTCATAGCACAAACGTCAGTCTCTTTAGTACGTGTTCCACCATTGAAATTTCAAATTGAAATAAGAGCGTGTCAGAGAGGCGCGAACAACGTTGCACACAGTGATGTCTCGGTGTGGGAGGGGTTTGTGATGTTTTCCTTAACTGACTGCGAAAAAGAATGCGGCTGAATAATATTTCTGAAGACTTGGCGAAGGGCGGCCGAAAAGTTGATTTGGCGTCAAGTTCATCGTGCGACGGCAATGTCACGATGCGCGCGGCGGTAACGAAGGTGACTCATTTGAAGATGATTGCAAATGACACATGGACATACTTAGCTTGCGCTCCTCCCCTACATCCCCCCCTGCGGCCCCCTCCAGGCCGAGAAACCAAAAAAATGAGTTTGCCTCGCGATTCGCCGCTGACGGGTGTACTCGTGGACCGGGGCGACGTTGGTCGCACGTGTCTTTGGGTTTCAAGCCAACGAGTTTGCCTGCCGCAATGTTGTCCGTTTAGCCTTCTTCACCTCCACATCCACACTAATCCGCCTTAAATTATGCATAACCTTTACTTGGCGGAGGCCCGTCCACCAATAAATCTGTTTATTCCCTTTTCCCCTCCTCCTTATAAATTGTGCTAAACAAATTCCAATTAAGTGAAGCAGCAATACGGCGTGAATAGTAATTTCCCTCTGAACATTCCCCAAAGAGGATAAGACCGCAATCATTGGCATTAATGTCGAAGGCGGCTTATGGCAGCTTTTGCTAAAATATGCTCACCGCTTGTTTTTATCAGGTCAGCGGCTGCGGTTTATGCAAGGCGAATGTTCGCCTAGCCAACAGCTCACCTGCTCCGCCACTTCGGTATTTTGCAAGTATCATTCCCAACGATTTCTTGATTTGACTTTTCAGGTCACATGACAAGACGAAGGGGGAAACCGCGCTTTCGACTTCTCGTACCAGCGATGACTGATAGCGGAACCCGGTCGCCCGATCCGGACCCAGACGCGGCGGTCCCGGAACCTCTTTGACTGATAACCGATGCAGAGTCCCTCAGACAAGCGTGAGTGAGACAATAAATGAGGCGCGCCTCCGCCGGAGGGCGAGTTATGTATTTCGAGCAATGCCCGACTGAGCACCGTATCCATCCTTCCCTTTTCTTGTCTGAACCTTTACCTCCTCTCTGTCCTTTGCCTCCAACACATCCCCCCCCCCCCCCACCACCCCACCTGGCAGAGCTGTCGCACCAGGAAGCGATCTATTTTACAACTCCTCCGCATTCTTCGCCAGAAAAGTGCGGCGTAGCCGATCAAAATCTGCCTCCGTGATTGATTTTTATGGTCTTTTGTGAAGGGGGAAAAAAATATAAAATAATAGTAATCCTACAACAAACTGGATGCCAAAAACTTTTCCACTTATGCTTTTGATGCATTGGACAGGACTGAAATTGCACCGTGCTTGTTTTGGTGCGCGCGATAAAAGAGAGGGGGGAAAAAAAATGGTCTCAACTTTGCACGGTCGTCCATCCCAAAAGTCGATGTAATGAACATCCCTTGATTTGTTGCCATCCAAACGTTGTCTCATCCACCTTCTACTGTGATGTGGCACTGTGATCCCAGACTAAAAAGTAAAGTATACATTCTCTGACAAAAAAATGGCTTCTCTGCAAACACGCGTGTCGCTCGGTGTGTCGACCGCACCCGGTAAGTGTGTAAGAAAGTGTGGCTGAGGGTTGCGGAGGCTGACATTTCAAAGGATCAACGAAGATCAATAGCAAAGGTCAGGAAAACAAGAACTCCGGGCTTGTTGCGACGCATGGCACAGGATGTTCGCCGGCGGTCGTCCTTCGTCTAAGCAGCTTGGGGATTTTTTTTTTTTTTTTTTTAACCGGTATGAAGCGGTCTGAAAGTTTTCATGGGTGGGGGGCGGGGGGTTGAGCTACACCATGTCGGTCGGTGCCGCTGTCAGGCAGCCATTCTGAGGTCAATCATGTGCACTGGGGGGGAGCAATCTGAACTCTGGATTGTAAACAAGAAAATCGATAGCTCATTTGTCATTAACGTTGGGAGGAAGCCGGGGTTTTTATTTATTTTTTTTAATGCACTTTTTTTAAATGCACTTTTCCCAATCCGAATGAACCAATCCTTCTCTTTCCACCCCCCCAGGGCCTTCCCCATCGGTCGGAAAGGTGCGTACAAGTCTCCTCCGTTCTCACTCATTCCTTTCAAGCACTTCCAGTCAACCTCACCTACGTTGGGAAAAGAAAGAGGTGAGTGGTTATGGTTTGATTTCCTGATGACGTCTAGCGGAATTACAGCCAAGCCCCATTCGTTGAAACGCACTGTTCCCAAAAACATTTTGCATAATTTTACCGCTTCCATATTGTCTTCAACATATTTGAGCGCCCTTGTCATTGTATTTCTAAACACCTGTCAAGCCCTTATACCACAACGCTCGCGCTTTTCGGCGATTGCATTTTGCAGTGTGTGTGTGTGTGTGTGTGTGTTAACGGTAAGTGAGCTGAATTTCACGTATTTGAAATGTGACCGTCTCTTTGTTTGATGTTTACTTTGACACTAAACCAACGACGAGTGGCAATAAACAGGTACGTTGAAAAATATATAACGGAGGCGGAACATTGTACGCAGATATAGTAAGGTACCAATTGAGGATTTAACGACCGATGTTTGCAAATTTTTTTTTAGCCTTGACAAAGGTCTTGCAGTGCTTCTTCGCTCGCCCTTTCTTTTTCTTCTCTTTCGACAAAAGAAACAGCTTTTCGGCGGCACGTCTGTGGCGATAGGAGTGGGTGTGGAGTGGGAGGGGGGGGAGAATGCCTTCTGCGGTTCTGCACTGATGGCGTTTTGTGTTTAAGTGGGAGAAGGGCCCGAATGTTTCTGCCACATGGCCGCTGATGCTGAACGGCGCTGGCAGGTGGATTATACCTCGTGCCGCTGTGTCCCCGGACAAATTTAAAGGTAGCCCGGAAACTCGGCACCGGGGGAGAATGTCGGCACACGGGGGAGGGTCGGCCCATCTTCTCCTTTTTGTGTGTGTGTGTGCGCGTGTGTGTGTGTGTTCCATCTTTCTTTTCCGCTCTCCTGAACTTGTATTGCACAAAAATCCCATAGAACCGCTGGTCAGAGCCATTCCCTTCCTGTTGTGATCATCCTCTGACAACTAATTAACTGACAGCGTCGGTCCCCCTCGGGGACGGGCCATAAATGCGACGGTACGACAAGAAACGATTTGTACAAAATGATGATTACGTTCGGCAATGTAAAAAAGGAGTCCCGCTCTCGTGCGAGTCCCTAACCCGAAACTAGAAGACCAAACCATTTGTGTCATAAAACTGATTTTTATTGTAAAACAGATTGATTATAATAAGTATTATTGTTATTATTATTGATGTGATGGCTGAAAATTTGCAAACAAAAATCCATCCGGCAAAAAATAAATAAATAAATAAAATAATAATAATAATAATGTCTTTGTGTCATGTGCACCATTGCAGTTGAAAAGGTAAACACGGGGGACAAGTAGAGTTGATGCTTTGGCGGCGTAGATGAATGGCAGGGAGTGCAAGATAAGCGGCCACTCAGAATGAGTCAGCCAAGTAAAGAGGGTTGTCGAGTGGGCAAGTGCTATTTTAGGGGAGACAAAGCGGAGCCGTGCGGGACCGACGACGGCCATTAGTTCGAGGAGGAGACTACAGTGATCAACATCCGTATTCCAAAAACATGCATGCCATGAAAATAGCAGTCCGTGGCCTCCAAAACGTAACGGGCACAGCGGGCAAATTGAAATCGCCACGACAGTGGTGCGCTCGCTTGACGATCCCATCTTATTTCGTTCTGCGAAGAAAACAACGACTCGTACTTTTCCCTGGGGGTTGACACCTTCTCTTGCTCTCCTCCACGCGCGGAATCCACTCGCCTTTTTCTCCATGACTATAAGTCAGGCCTCTGGTGGCCTGCTCCCCCCGCCCCCCCGCGGGCTCGCTGTAACTGCCCGTATTGACTTTGTCCTGTCTCGGGAGATGACGGCGTCTCCCGCGGGACGCGCGCCGATGCACATCTCGCAAAAAACGGCCGCTCTCTCACAGACGCTCTCGGGACACTTGTACTGTATGTATGTGTGTGTGTGACGGGAATCCTGCTGGAGTCAACGTCATCTGGACATTGCACAGCCACGCTTGCCGCTTCATTTGTAGAATGTTGGGATTCTCCATTTGATATACACTCGGGGATGTGCTATACCACTTTTTTGCTTTTTTGCAACATTGAAAACACAGTTGACTTTGACTTCATTTAGTTGTTTTTGCCTTTAATAAACACAAGGCAGTCGTATCCCTAAAAAGTCGGTTGTGATTTTAAAAAATGACATCAAATGCAATAGTCGCGGCGCTTGACTCTTAAAGCAAACGGATACTTGAACACAAACTGTACATTAACTTTAGACCGGTAACAAAATTCGCAGGCATGTATTCTTTATCCTCTGTGGAAAAATGACAACTATTACTGCAGTGTAACGAGTCTCTGTGAAAATCTTCAATCCATGCAGCCACGTGCTAACGTTCCATTTCCTGATCTTCCTCCCAATGCGTACTTAACATGAAGGAGCACAGTTTGCGGCAGTAATTGAAAATAGGCGGGGCATGAGCTCACGCATCAGCTCCATCCCTCCACAGGTTTGACATTCAAGCTGATAGCGGCTGCCGCGCGTGTTGTTGTGTTTATTTGCCACAATTCTCCCGAGAACAGTCACTTTCACTTCACCTCTTCTGCATGAATTACTTCCATTTCATTTCTAAACACCTGTCAAGTCCTTGGGGAGCGGCGCAATCTGTACGGCGGACATTCCCAAGGAGAAAATTGAGAAAACAGGAAACGCCACCTTTTGCTCCGTAAAACACATTTGTACCACCTTTGCCCTTTCAAAAGTGCCCACGCGCTCGTGTTGTTCCTCTCCTGACAACACCCCTGGCCTCACTTTAGCCCGGCGCAGATTTGCGCAAAGCGCGCAATCACCTGACGCGAGGCTTCCCCTTCACGTCTTCCATCTATCAGTCACAACGTGACGTTTGTGCCCTCACATCGCTCCAACCAGGTCGCGTTCCGGCAAAATAAGCCGAGCTGTGCAACGCTGTCGGCGAGGTTGACGCACTCGACCGTCGCCCTCGACTGTCTGCCTGTTGAATAGATCTCTGCAATACCCCCAAATTGCATGAAAACATGCACCCTAGTGGCGGCAAACGGCCGTGCCGTCGTGACACGTTGACACCCGCGTATCCGAGTAAATAGCCCGTCTCCCCTCTATGGGTGTATTATTAATAGAGAAGGACACAAAGTTAATCTGATGGAGGGTGGGCAAGAGAGGGAGCGTGAGCGAGGGTGAGCGAGCATACTGCATTAGAGCACGTGTGATTTATTCGCCCCTCTAGGTGAAGGAGACCCCATTTGTATTCATTTGCCTTTATTTTTATCCCAGATTCATCTGGCCTTCACGTGCCTGTCGCCGCCGTGCTAATATTATTTTGGCCATGTGCGGCTCCGTAACGCACTCTTATAAAAAAATGACCCCAATGCGGCTGCAAGATGATGCGCGCGGATGAAGGAAGGGGTTGCGGCTTTATTTGATATCATTCATCTGATTCGATTGTGTTTTTTTTGTTGTGTTGTTGTTGTTGTTGTTGTTGGTGGTGGTGGGTTTTTTTATGGGCAGATTAAAAGTCTCCCAGGGACGGGATGGTGAGAAAGGTGGGGATAATGATGTCTGTCTTCCTATGGGGGAGCACGCAAACACAAACGTGTACACTCACATTTTTACAAGCCTGCTGCGGCCTGGCTAGTGTGTGTGTGTGTGTGTGTGTACGTGTGTGTTTTTCTTCTTTTAAGGCCGGCAAGGTGAGCCAGTGGTGCTCCAAGCCAAGGGCAAAGACAACAGTGACCACCGAGCTCCTTTTGCAGAACAATTAGATGGGAGTGGAGGGTAACTGCAGTTGTGTTATATAAGCGCACGCGCCTAAATGGGCTGGGGGTTGCGCCCGAGGGGGTGCGCGTGAATGTTGGCAAATAGAAAAATAAAAATCCTTACATTCGTTCGTACAAACGTTCTAAAAAAAATGCAAATCTATGATGATAAAAAGTGAAGTACAACTGAACTGTGCTGAAGTAGGGATTCGTTTGTTGACCACTAGGGGGAGCCCACATCCCACTCTTTGAAAATGATTATTTAAAACAATTTGTCTTGAATCTGCCCAGATATTGATGTTAGTATAATTAAATTAAATTCCTTTTTCCAAAAAAAAAAAAAAAAAAAAAAAAAAATCCCTCACTTGTTGATTATATTGAGAATTTTATCGCTAATTTCGATGGACTTAAAGCACACATTAGGTACAAATAACAAAATCTGCAAACAAAAACAACCCAGCATTTTTTGTGTGTGCGTGTGTTCATGCGTATGCAGCTTGTGAGAGATTCATTTGTGCGGCATTATTCATGCTAAGCTAGGCTAAAAGCCACCGACTTGCTCCATCCCCTCAAAAACGAGAGTGCTATTAATCTCCACTAAGAGAGCAAAGGCACATATTTCCCTCGATGACAAATGAGTCTTTTTGAACGTGTTCAGATGATCACACTAACAGGAGCCGAGCGTGTTTTTTTAATGAACCCCGCACCGGTAACCTCTCGCGCTCGCTCTCTCTCCTCCGGTTGTGCCCGCCTTCCGTCCGCCCGAGTGCACCCAGCTGCGCAACAATTACAGGTGGGTTCGCAGGCGTGCACAATAACCAGACGCATGCATTATTGAATGAAGCCGCGTCGAGACGGAATTGCTAAGCCAACCAATAAAGGCAAATTACCCAAGACAAAAGCCCGGCGAGGCGGCGGCGAGCCCGAAAGACAAAATGGCATCGCATTAATGAACAACATCATTTCTGAAAATGGAGGGGAAGCGCAAGGTTGCGTCTATCAACGCAAGACGGAGCGAGTGTGTGAAAGAAAGCAAGGAGGGAAGAGATGGAACACAACATTGACTAGCTAATTATGCGTTTTATCATTTCAGTCACGATAGAGTGCCTCCGTTTTTTTTTTTTTTTTGTTTGTTTGTTTTTTTTTTTGCCGGTCGTAGCAGTGCGGCCGTTGCCGCGCTTCTTTAATGACATAGATAAAGAAAAATCACAAGCGAGCTTTATTTAGATTAAACCGCATTACTTCCTGTCTGTGGAGCGCGCGTGCAACAACCGCGGCGCCATGAAAATTAGCCGACGTGAGCCTAATGGTACGTTACGAGGCGATGGGCGACAGCCTTTGCATGAAGTAAAACGGTGATTCCCGCACATTCGTCTGACGTGGGACATCGCTGGGGTGCGCTGAGGGGTAAATGATCCTGTTTCGTTTCATTGGTCCGAACGTTATCATTCGGACATTTTGTCCGTGTATTCAAGCAGTACATTAAAATGGCAGACGGCATAAGTCACCTGACTGCGACGAATAATCGATTAATCAACACCTATTTAACGATGAACGAGTTGATTGCGAATGACTTTTTTCAGTCGGTCAAATTAAAATTAAATTAAACAGTCCAAATCCTTAAAATATTCTCAGCGTCGTCAAATGTTTCAAATCGGTGATCATTCCTACTCTTGTCCACTTCAGCCTGTACCAATATTTTGGATTTTGTCGAGGGTGGTAATAATCCCCCCCGGCGCCAATCACCTTTTACCCTTGCCCGGTTTGAAGTGGACACGAGTCGGAATGTGCACATGAATTTGGGTGGCGATTGTTTCAGATACGAGGTGACAACTGAGCCAGGAAACAGGAACAGATGATCGCCTCGTGGTTTAAAAAGGGAACCCAACTCGCTAGACAGCAGATGGACTGGAAGTGCGTTGTGACTGAGTGACGCGTTGGGGCGAGCGAGTGAGCGAGTGAAGTCTTGGAATCCGATTGCAGGGAGACACTCAACAGATGATTGGCTCGCCTCATCTCGGCTTCCGTCAACAAGTGGCAATGAAAGTCCATTTGCGGTCCCCCGGGGCGTCGCTCCCGGTGCGCCACGGGCCAACACGAAGACATTAAATATGGAATTACTGGAGAACCAGCTGTCTCCTCGCATATTGCGGCTCCGCGGTTGCCAGAAGGGGGAACGTTTATATCCGTGCATGTTGCTGGAAGTCGAGTCCTTATCGGACGACAAACTAATATTAATGGGAAAATTATTCCAAAGAAACCGCGCCGTACGCTGACCCTGTAATAAGGAGAGTGCTGTCCGTGTCATTGTCATGGCAACCTCACATTCTCAACTTCCGCAGAGTACAACGCAC